ATATAAATATCCAACAAAATATATGCATTATCGATAAATTGGCAAAGAAGATTTTGATTATGTATCATACTGTATCTTTTAACAAGATGTTAGGGCTAGAGTCAGTGATAAATGAGAATTCAAGAATGCATGTTCGGATTAATTGTTAAAATTTCATAATTATCGAATAGGATTTTTAGATCCTATATTATTATTAATTATTAAGAACTGCAAGTAATTTTCTTTTGAGATGTTGGCTCGCACAGAAACAAGTCCGGCAATTAATTATTTTGTTGTCAAATTATAGATGTTTCTAATTCCACAATTTTACATATAAACACCCATTTCTTACGCCCAAGAAACACCGAATTCACCGAATTCATTCAAAATGAATTACAATTCCTATGTCGATTCTCAAGCGTTGTGTGATGAAATTATGAACGACCTTTCAAGAAACACGGGATTTACAAACGAAATGTATAACGAAAACCTATCATGTTTATCCAATTCCACCAATATCGATATCCCGTTTTATGAGGATACGGGATTTACATACGAAATGTATAATGAGAACCCATCATGTTCATCCAATTCTGCTAATATTTTCGGTCTTCAAACGTTTTATGAGGAATTTATGGATGACACTCCTTTGGAACTTACCTCATCACCTTGGCAGGATCCAAAAAATACGGAATTTACATACGAAATATATAACGAGAACCCATTATTTTCATCCAATTCCGCTAATATTTTCGGTATTCCAACGTTTTATGATGAAATTATGGATGACACTCCTTTGGAACTTACCTCATCATCCTGGCAAGTTCCGGGATTTACATACGAAATATATAACGAGAACCCATCATTTTCATCCAATTCTGCTAATCTTTTCGATCTTCATGATGAACCTACTTTATCGCTTTGGCAAGATCCACAAAATACGGGATGTACATACGATATGTATAACGAGGAAATTATGGATAAGCAAGTTCCAAAAAACGCGGAATACTCAATGAAAAGGTCTACCGAGGCCAAGTTCGTCTTTGAGAATCCATCATGTTCACCCGATTCCCCGAATACTGATCATCAAGCGTTACTTTATGAAATTATGAAAGACACTGCTTATAAATTTACTTTACCTCTAGACGAGCTGCTTGCTCCACGCGAACAAAGAGAATCACATAACCCGCCTAGATCACAAAATAAATTCATTTTATTTCGGAAAGATTACACTGCACGAATGAGGAAAGAGAATCCTAATAGGACAAAGTCAATGAAAACACGTGACTTGTCGAAGGAGGCGAGCGAAGCCTGGAAGGTTCAATCAGTACAAGTGAAACAACTATTTACTGTTTTAGCCGACATCGCTAACGAAAGGCATAGAGTGAAATATCCGGGATACGTCTATATGCCTGAGAAAAAATAAGGTAAATAGGAAAGCAAATCATCATCGGATGATATTAACGAGTTTGAGGAGTTTATCGATTATACCCTGCGAAAGTGAATAAGATAGATACTAAACTAAATTTTGGCAAGTTTGGCAATCGCATTCTGTTTTTTATTTTATTAAATCGAAAAATAAACATTCTAAGTTTAAATTCATCGAATAATAAAAAATTTCCTTGTTTTTTTT